GGGGGGGGGGGGGGGGGGGGGGGGGGGGGGGGGCACGCCATCGTTGCGTCGACATGTAGACATGCTACACGCAGGTAGCGTGGAAGACGCTACTAGGAGCACCTGTTGTAGTACGTCGTTTGCCACACTTTGGTATGCTATCTATCCATGTTGCAGGTAAAGACAGTTCCTTTGTTGTTTGCTGGTGCTGCGGCCACCGCTGCTGTTATGTTCATCTTGTGACGGCGACATGCCATGTGCCACTCCTGCTGACTCTGTTCATCGTGTGGTCGTGTGGTGACAACATGTCATGTCATGTGCTACTCCTCTTGCTTCTGTTAGTCGTGCGGTGACAACATGTCTGTGCTACTCGTGTTGCCACTGTCAGGGGTGTCAAAAGCAGCAAATTTCCTTTAGGAAAAAAATTGCAAAAGTGACCTCGGATCATCCAGATGGAAAATCGACTGACCAATCAAATTGCACGGAACGGTCCGAAAGCTCCCCAGAAGCACCTGACGCGCACGCGCGAGGGCGCCGCTCGTGTGTGTGCTCTGATGTGCCCTGCTGTGGGACACAACACAACACCTTTGCGCGGTCCCACTCTAGACCACATGCCTCATGACACACCCGAGCAGCAGCCGGGCGGTGAAGCCACGCAGACACCTGCCGCCGCCGCTGCTGCTGCTGAAAAAAACAGCAGCAGCAGCAGCAGCAGCGGCGGCGGCGGCGGCGGCAGCGAGGTTGAGCCTGGCTCTCTTCCACAATTTTCTTACTTCTGACCAACTCCTCCTTCGTTTCCTCCAGCGTTCTCTCTACGACGGTGAGGCTGCCGCGTTCGATAGCGCGCCGCGTGTTATCTTCTGCTGACGCGGCAACCATACACTGCCCCGTCCTCTCTTCAAACTTCGTTTTGTGGTGATTCAGCTTTCGCGCAGCGCGCCTCCTGCTGCCGAACGGCGCGGACCTCGATTTTAATTTTTTTGGGAGGGTCTGCTGGTGTGGGCGCTGCAGCCCCCACTGGAGGGGACGTTTCAGACATGTAGATCTCGTGGTTGGCTGATGCCATTCGGATGCGGTTTGTTGTGTGGTATAGCTGTAAACCCAAGGTAGAGGGCTGTAAGACCGCTTTTTCGAGAGGAGCAAAGGCCGCCTTGGGCGTGGAGCAAAGAGCTAAAAAAAACATGTTTCTTGGTGTTCGTCCGCCCTTTACCTTGAAGAGAAAACCGAGCGTACAGTCGCCTCTATTGAACTTGTGTCCAGGTGTGTGTAACGTATGAAGAGCCACGCTGCACAAACAAACTGAGTGACGTATTGTTTAATCAGTATAACAGGCGGGCACTCTCAAGAGCCAAAAAAGAACCCAATCCGTGTGCCCCCCCCTCCAAAATCGCTGAATTGACCGGCCACATTTTGGGCTCCAAAATCTGCCCGATTGACACCCCTCACTGTTAATCGCGTCGCGACAACATGTCATGTGCCGCGTGCCACCCATGGCACCCAGAAGGAGGGGGGCGAGACGGAGGAGGCGGTGCTATCGGTTTCTCTCCTGTTGACGACGACGGCGCGGGGGGTTGCGTATCGTGGGCGGCCGTGCTAACCCTCGAGGCCATCCACAGGGTGCTCGCCAGCCCTTCGGTCGTGTTGGAGCTATCCCGGTGAGTCCAATCTAGTCCAGTCGCCTTCGCCTCGTAGTACACTGCTCTTTCGTATTCAGGAGACCTCTGGGACGTGGATTGGGATAGTCAGTGATACCCCCCCCGCCACCGCCCCGGCGTGTGTGCCCCCCTTTGGGGTCTGTGGTACGCATGGTTTGCTTTAACGTTTGTGGACGCGATGCTTGGTACACATGGCATGACTGCCAATATCGTCTTGTGGGGGGTGTTTGAAAATTTTCCCGTCCATGACCAACCCGCTCGAGACTACCTGCCTTTGCACAGCAGCTGTCACGTTCGGTTTGGACACTTCTATATTGGAACATGTCCTGATTCCTACGGACCCTGCTCCAGTCTACTCCTGTGCCTTTTTACACGTAGGGACGGAAAGAGAGAAGGTTCTGGATACCAAAGAACTGTGTGTAGTGCAGACCATAAGAGAGGCACACAATGAAGCTATCTCCACCGCTTGCTGAAAACACCTGTACGGGGTGCCCCGTGTTTTGCAGGCATGAGGGGAAGAAGGATAGCGGCAGCAACGGCGGCAGTGGCAGTGGCACCGCGACAGTGGTAGAGGAGATGCTGCACGCCATCTCTCAGCACTTGGTGCGGAACCTGAGCAACCAGAGCGACATACAAGGCTTGGAGGGGATGGCTCTAGCTATAAGGTACGCTACGCGATTGGAGTACAGTCGACCCCGCTTTAAGGATGCTCGCGTTAAGGCAAATCCCCGCCTTGAAGAAACTTTCATGCTGAGCAACAGGGGGCCCGGCAGAATGTACGATAATGGGGTACCCCGCAATTTTATGTCGCGTACCCCCTTTTTGTGTCCTGCGGGCCGCTCTTTGCATGGACCACTCACCAGTTAGTACAGAAGTAGCGACGCACAGACAGCAGCAGTAGCGAGCGGTCTGCTGCTGCAGCTGTAACAGGGTGTTGGTATGGATAGATTTCTCCCAGCTACCGGCGGTCCATTTGATGCCGCCAAAAAAAGAAGCCGTGCATAACCTCGTCCCTCACGGAGGGCGAGGTTATCTCTCGCTTGGAGGACGTTCGATCCTATTTGTACACGAAGAGAAGGGGCGGCGAGCACCGTGAGACGCAATACCTTCTTTCGAAGACCGTTCATTCGTATCCTCGTGAAACTCAACAGAGGCGTACTATGTGGGGGAAAAAGTCGCCCAAGGGTAGCTTTTGGTCTGCGCCGGGACAGTTATATGTACCCTTGTCCCTCGGTGCGACGCTGAAATACGCTCGTTGTTTTTTTGTTTCACAAGAATGAGATAAATATGTGTCTACTTGGACTTTCCTCCTTCTTCCGCTCCCGGCTATGCCGTACACTGGTTGGAAAAGTACAAACTTCTGTATTGTTAGATGTTTTCAACACGTCCCCGATTGCTGTTCATCTCATTTTTAAGTATTGTAAATGTGTTCGACGTCAACAAACGGTTGCCAGTCGTCTCGGCGATGCTGACTTTTCACACTACACCGTTCCCTAGCAAAAGACGCGTAGTTTGAGGTATAGCATGCCTCCATTGGCCCCGGGGATGGAGAGCTACGCAACCCCGCGTTATGGACGCTTTTTTCGGGAAAAAGCATATGCGTCCCTAAAGCGGGGTCGACTGTACCGTTTCTGCTCTCCTTGGCGTTTTGCATTTTCATTCTTTCCTGTTTATCCTCTGTTTTTCTTCTGTTTTCCCTCAGCTTTTCCTTTTTTTTTTGCTCTTTTTTTGCTCCTTTTTTGCTCTTTGTTCATTTTTGTTTGTCTTCTTGACGTACACTTGGTATTTTTTGTTCAAAACAACTCGAGAAAGCGCGTATTTATCATTATTAAATTGACGAACTAGCTTGAGACGACCAAACAACTGCCCGCCCACCCACGCCGGCGTGCCCCACACAAACAGGCTCGGGCGCATCGGGTCTCCATCGTCGTCGGCGTCCCCCGGAGAGGGAAAGCGGCTCCCCCCCCCCCCCCNCACCGCCATCATCTTCTAGAGGAGGAGCTGCACCCACTCCCAGGCCTAGCGTTGCCAACAATAGTAACAGCAGGAGTGGGGGGGGCGGGGGGAGCGGCACGCGGTCGTCGTCGTTGGAGCTGCTGCACGAGACGAAACAGCCCCGTAAGTTGCGGTTCGGCGTAACGTATGACGTGTGGTGTGTATGGTATGACGTGTTACGCGTAACGTGCAACATATGACGTGTAATGTGTGACGTGCGTGCTTGTGAGGGAAGCTGCCGTTGTGGTTCATCAGGTGCTACGGCGTGACTCACTTACACGAGCGATGTGTTGGGCTGCGATGTAATTTGCGTTGCTGCCGTCGCCGTCATCGTTGTCGTCTTTGTCATTGTCGTTCCTGAAAAGCTCTGGACGATGCGGAGCTGCTGCTCTGGGCCCTGCAGTGCGTGGTCGACTTGGCGGCTTCAGTGGGATCGCTTGTCGACGATGAGTTCGGCACCTCTGACACGGGACTAGTCGTGCCGAGGTAAGCCGTAGGTCCTTGGAAGTCGTGGGTCAGTTGTCGTTGCTTGGGGGGGGGGAG